ACATTGAAGACCGCTCCAGAAAGGCCAATGCCGCCCTTTATGCCAGTGAGATAGCTATAGGGGAAAAATGGGGAATAAAACCACACATAGTACACTGGATGTACACAGCTGTGATAAGACCCATCCTTTTCTACGGGGTCACCGTATGGTGGCCTGCGCTAAACAACACTTTGTGCAGAGCCAAGGTGGAACGGGTGCAGAGGACGGCTGCCATGCTAGTCACGGGAGCACTGCCCACTACACCTACCAAATCTCTGGAAATAATGTTAATTCTTCCACCTGTGGATCTCTACGGAAAATTTCGGGCCGGCTGCAGTGCGGCCAGGTTAAATACAATTCATCCGTGGAGAGACCTCAGATTCGGACACGCAAAAGTACTTAAAACTCTACCGGATAATCTACGACAGATAGATTATACCACTCCTCTACTCTGCTTAGACAACAAATTCTCCACAAGAATCCCAGAGAGGAACGAATGGGAATGGGCCACAGACCTGAACCCAGGGTCTACGGCGATATATACAGATGGTTCCAAGCATAACAAAAGAGTGGGTAGCGGGATCTACTCTGACGAACCTGCGCTAAACCTCAGTTTTCGCTTACCGGACCATTGTAGTGTTTTTCAAGCAGAATTAAACGCCATAATGGAGGGGGCACGGTGGGTTATAACCTCCGCCCCTCCGGGACGGCCTATTGCTATCTATTCAGCTAATAAAGATGTCAATTTTCAAATATGAGTGTTTTTACTCTCAAGAAAATAATTTATGCAACCTCACATAAGCGGTTTTGCTTTATCTTGATACACGGTTTTGTACTTTATCGACGACATGCATAACAAATGTTATATGTCCCTTCTCTCAGGCAACACAGAAAGAATTCGGCTTATTAAAGGCTATAAGGCCGCCCACGCAGACGTTAATGTTGCCAAAGAGAACTATTTTTCGCTCGCCCTAACCTTTAGAGCACTTAAGGAGTATAAAAACATTTGATATCGATTTTTCCTTGCCTAGATCTATATTTAAGTCCGTTCTTGATTCTTTTTGTTGTTAATTTGTTGTGTTATAGGCTGCATTTCTTTATTCATTCTGAACGTTTGGAATAAACTTTTTTGTTTACTTATTCTTTAGAACGTTCCTGATGATATGTAAACGTATATTTCAATGGCATTCTGTTTATTCTGGTTGTGAAATGGGTTTATCCGGAATGTATAAAGAAACGCAGCCATAATGTATAAATTCTTTTTGGAATGTATTTGTTTATCTGTATCCAAAACTCTTTGTTATCTAGTCAGTAAGATATATCGTCGTTTAAAGTACAAAACCGTGTATCGTCATTCTGCAAATCGCGTAACTGACATTGGCTGCCAAAAATTGGATTTGCTCACACAAGCTCTTTGCTCAATCCTTATGCATTCGTCCTGAAACATACTAGCCAGAAGTGCTTTTGCTTTATAAAAATGAGAATCATTTTGAAATATGAGTGTTTTTACTCTCTAGAAAATAATTTATGCAACCTCACATACGCGGTTTTGCATTATCTTGATACGCGGTTTTGTAGTTAAACGACGATATGTACATCATAGACTGAAATAAATATTAAACCATTATTTATCGAAATATTGATTTTTAAACTTAAAAGTTTAAAAGTTTAACTATATAGACTCATGCGCCACATAACTGCAAAATTTGTTGTGTAGTTATTTCTTTTCATGTAAGCAATATAAATTCTAAATGTAAACCTAATCGGATCATATATATGGGTTTTTCAAATATCTCGACTCCTGCACCACCTATCGGCAAAATTGTTTGCGGATTTATTTCTTTTCATATATGTAAGTAATATGCATTCCAAATATGAATCAGGCTGTAAATGCGGGTTTTACAAATATGTCGACTCCTGCGCCACCTAGCGGCTAAATTTTTTGTGGAGTTATGTCTTTTCATATAAGTAATATACATTCCAAACATGAACCAAATCAGAACATAAAATACGGGTTTACAAATATCTCGACTCCTGCGCCACCTAGCGGTTTAATTCGTTTTGCGTATTGCATTATCATCGGGTTCTGAGCAGCGTTGCCGCTTTGGTAATTTTTTACCAAAACTGGTAATTTTTTTCTTTTTAGGAGGAGTTTGGTAATTTGGTAATTTTTTTCTCAATTTGGTAATTTTTTTAACGTAAGTCTTTTCTTTTAAGTTTTTAATACTAACTTATTACATATAAAAATTTATAACTTTGAACCTTCTGACAATTGCACAAAACAAAAAAATTTGCTTATGTACTTACATATGTATGTATCTACACCTTAAGATAGCCAAAAATTTAAAGGGCTCTTTGATGTAACAATTTGCCTTGACAACTCAGAACTTTTAGTATGAGTTTGCAATATAGCAGGAAACCACCCATTTTTCCCAATATGGCGGCTCGATCACAGCCCCTACAATCCCACAAATCTGCGTTTTGGATCATTTTTACCTGCCGGAACCAATGGTGAAAGAAAATAATTTCACGGGACTAATTAAAAGTTTGCGATTAAGTACGAATGTGACCCACTTATAAAATATTAGTGGTATTCATCTAAACCGATAACTTTATCAAGCAGATAATCTTATAAGTTTATGCACTCTGTTACATGAACGACCCACACTCTCTTTTCGTTTACACATGCGACAATAGTCGTGTTTTCTTTGGTTATAAAGCGCAGTGTCACTAACTTTATACTACTAGCACGGGGATAAAGAAATTATAGAAACTACCTCACTAAATTGGAAAAAATTATATTTACGAGATATCTATTTAAATAAATGTACATATAACACAAAGGCTATTTATTTGAAGCAAGTTATAAGAAACAATGGCAGAATGTCTGTTTGTGTATGA